CTCGACGAGTCTCTGCTCGCTCGCTGCCGTCACCATGGAGTCTCTTCTCCAGCAGTCTCGGGCGATGTGTCCGTTCCTCAAGCGCACCTCTCCCACCGCTCTGCGTACTCTCGCCACGGCTACCCGTCCCAGCATGAGTCCCGGCGGAGGTACCATGTCGAACCTCCAGATCATCGCTCGTCGTTGCCCTGTGATGAGCAAGGCCCTGGCTGTCCAGAGTGCCCGCATGGCCGGCACCAAGAGGTTCACCTCCTCTGCCGCTGGGGTGCCGGGTATGAGCAGCAAGCATTTCCGTCCTACTCAGACCAGAAGAGCGCTGCACAGTACTGGAGGCAATGGCGCCAACCTCAGCCCTGATCTGTACAAGAACACCGACAGACGTGCGTACTTTGTCAGCGGATAGATTGAATATATATAGCTAATTGATTCCGAACAGTCCAACCCACCTTTGGCAATGGCAAAGGCAAGACCCCACTGGCCACTTCTCCCGCGGCGGTTGCCGGTCCCCGTCCTGGCGCTCCCGCCTCCGCTCCATTCAACTACAATGCTTTCTACCAGGGTGAACTGGAGAAGAAACACAAGGACAAGTCCTACCGCTACTTCAACAACATCAATCGTCTCGCCAAGGAATTCCCCCGTGCTCACACCGCCTCAGTCGAAGAGCGGGTGACCGTGTGGTGCTCGAATGACTATCTTGGAATGGGCCGCAACCCGGAAGTGTTGGCCACCATGCACGAGACTCTGGATACGTACGGAGCTGGCGCCGGTGGTACTCGCAATATCTCCGGACACAACAAGCATGCCGTGGCTCTGGAGAACACGCTCGCCAAATTGCACGGCAAGGAAGCGGCGCTGGTGTTCAGCTCGTGCTTTGTTGCCAATGATGCGACGCTTGCGACCCTAGGAAGCAAGATGCCCGACTGTGTCATCCTGTCGGACAGCCTGAACCATGCATCAATGATTCAGGGTATCCGTCACTCTGGTGCCAAGAAGATGGTCTTCAAGCACAATGACCTGGTCGACCTGGAGAATAAGCTGGCGTCTTTGCCATTACATGCGCCCAAGATCATCGCGTTCGAATCCGTTTACAGTATGTGCGGGTCTATTGCTCCCATCGAGGCTATCTGTGACCTTGCCGACAAGTACGGCGCCATTACATTTTTGGACGAGGTCCATGCCGTGGGTATGTACGGTCCCCACGGGGCTGGTGTCGCAGAACATCTCGACTACGAGATCTATGCCTCTCAGGACACCCCCAACCCTCGCTCCACCAAAGGAACGGTGATGGACCGCGTAGACATCATCACCGGTACTCTGGGCAAGGCGTATGGGTGTGTCGGAGGCTACATTGCCGGCTCTGCGGCTATGGTGGATACCATCCGCTCGCTCGCTCCCGGTTTTATCTTCACAACCTCGCTGCCGCCGGCGACGATGGCCGGAGCCAACACGGCTATTCAGTACCAGGCTCGTCACAAGGGTGACCGTGTGCTGCAGCAGTTGCACACTCGGGCCGTGAAGACGGCACTGAAGGAACTGGATATCCCCGTGATTCCGAACCCCTCTCACATCGTACCTCTCCTGGTTGGTGATGCCGAGCTTGCCAAGAAGGCCTCGGATAAGCTGCTGGAAGAGCACGGAATCTACGTCCAGGCGATCAACTACCCGACCGTGCCCCGCGGTGAGGAGCGCCTGCGTATCACCCCAACTCCGGGACACGTCAAGGAGCACCGCGACCACCTGGTGCAGGCCGTCCAGGCGGTCTGGAACGATCTGGGCATCAAGCGCACCAGTGACTGGGCAGCCCAGGGTGGCTTTGTCGGCGTCGGCGTTGAAGGCGCCGAGGAACAGAACCAGCCCATCTGGAAGAACACGCAGCTTGGCCTGGTCGAGGACGAGAGTCTGGAGCAGGCGGTCGAGCGTGAGTTCCAGCAGGTGCCTCGCATGCAAACCGCCGCTCCCATCGCTGCGGCTCCCGCTGCCTCCGTCCCCGTGGGCGTGGCTGCATAAACAAAGACCGCTGCCTTACGATGGGTAGTGTATCATGCATATATAATTCACCACCCCCTTAAACCTCAAAAGATTTGGTTTGGGTGCAGCTTTGATATTCCTGCTCATTGACATTATAACCTTGTCCTCAGGCGTACATGCACATGTATGTATCCAATTTATTTGTACGAGGAACACTTCACATATAATCCGAACCGGTCTGTCATTACCGCACTTTGGGTTCGATAGATCAATCAAGAGCCAGTCTCTACCTTTGGCAGTTCTTACAATTATAACAGTCGTAAATGGCTTAGTGCGTATTTCAAGACATTGTAGGCCTCTATAAGACATGAGTGACATTTATAGTCCAACGATCGCGCTATCTAGTTACAATGAATGGAACCCCCAACGCCATGACACCATGAGACAAGCGCAGTATCGCGGGAGACGGACATCCCAAACCCAACTTTTTCTAGTTTTATCTTTTCCACATCTGAAAAGTAAAGAGAAAGACCGGAAGGACAAAAATCATCTCCTTCCACCGCGGCTCACCTTGGGGAACTCCACAGGGATCTTGAGACGGGCAATGCGTCTCGCGGCCGCCTCGGCCTTGCCGCCCTTGATATTCCATTTCGCGAACTCGCTCTCGCGCGGCTTGTCGACGCGGCAGCCCAGTTCGCGGAAGTACTGCAGGATGGTAGCGCTCTCGAGCCTCAGGTCGTCGCGCAGATCGGCGGGGTCGGTGGCCAGCTCGTTGGGCGAGTTGCCGCCCAGGGAGCTGGCGCCGCCGTCCTTGGCGGGCTGCGGGGGGATGTGCAGCGAGAGCGCGCAGACGGTGGTGTGCAGGAAGGTGAGGTCGTTCTTGGTGAGGTGGGAGCCCTGCGGGGCGAACTTGCGGCGGATGGCGTCGATGACGGGGTCCGGGAGCGTGCCGGCGTCGGATTGGCTTGTATTCTGCTGCTGCTGCTGCTGCTTGCTGGTCGATGCGGGGTTGCCCGAGGCCGAGGAGAGGATGCGGCGCAGTTCCTCGCGGGGCGGGAGGCGCTTGCTGCCTGGTCCGGCGGACGATTTGGGGTCTCGGCCGGAGCGCAGGGAGCGGGCGAACTCGAGGAGGAGGAGGATGAAGCGGAGAAGCTGGAGGTGGGTGGTGTTGCCGGACTTGACGACCGCCTCGACGCGGCGGGAGACGTAGCGCGAGGTTGTAGCGACGGGGAGGCCGGCAGAGACGGTGTCGGCCCACTCCTTGACGCCGGGGAGCTGGCGGAGGGTGGCCAGCCCGTTGGGGACGAGCACGTCGATCGGATAGACGTCGGCAGGGTGCGTCGCGTCCAGGTTGGCCTGCGGGATGGGCTTGTTGGCTTGCACCTGCGCCTGCACGGCGGCCGCCTTGGAGGCGATGTCGGCCGCGGCGTCGGCGGGCATGGACGAGAGGATGGCCGACTCGGCGGCGTTGGCGGCACCCGCGGGCGCGTTGGACAGCTGTGCGTTCTCAGCCATGGACTGTGCCGCCTTCCGTGATTGTTTCGTGCCGAAGGTGTTGGTGAGTTGGGTGCGTTGCGTGCGCATGGTTTTCTGTCGCAGTCAGCATCTGCCAAAGAGTCGAGCAGCTGTACTCAAGAGCAGAGAGCTTACCACTTCCTCCTCCTCGCTGCTCTCCTCATCTTCCTCCGCCAGGGGCTTCATCCTCCTCACGGCTCCTCGCACCGTCAACTTGCGCACCTCGACAAGCTGCCAGGTCTTCTTCTCCGGGTCCACCACGGCAACGTAGTGCTTAAGCTGGGAGTCAGCGTCCTCCTCCGCCTCGCGGCCCACAAAGTCCAGCTTGGGGTGCTCGGAGGATTGCAGCAGGAGCTCCGAGGAGACGATCCCCTTGTTGCGATTTGCCGATGACGAAGAATTTGCGCGGGCTTTGAGGTACGGCGTAAAACGCAGGTTGCGGGGGGCGCTGACGCCGGGGGTGGTGACTGTGCAGCCTGTCAGTCGATTTGTGCGTGGTACAGCAAATGTATATCATTCGTACTTATCACAGGAGCGAGCTCGCTATGCTCCTCTACTACACTGGCCGACAGAGGTGGTAGGTCCTGGAGCTCGAGCGCGGGCTTCTTGCTGGGACGTTCATGGCGATCAGAGTCGCGCTTGCGCTTTTTTTCGACTTTATCTGATGGCATATTGATCCCCTGGGAAGGAAAAAGGAGAATGAAGAAAGGTATTGCTTAATGGCGTGGTGTTGTAGCTTAGCTACGTTGGACTGAAATGTTCTCTTGAAGGAAAAAAATTGCCGGGTCCAAAAATTGGTTCTCCGCAATCAAAGGCGGAGATGATCGTTATTGGACACACAACCAGACCACAGTGAATTGGTTCATGTCCGTTACTTCATGAATATTATTGTTGATTGACTACTGTTCTGTGCATTGAAAAGCTCTCATTTAGCATCTACGATACTGAATGCAAGTCTTGTTGTCATCGTAACTTTTGCCATTTCATTTTTAATAAACTCTCGAGGGACACCTCTCCATGGCTCAAGGTCTCACTAGAGAACAAGACCCGAACTAAGAAGCGAGCAATTGACCGGCCCTCATGCGAAACCCAAAAGGTTCGGTGAATAAAGACAGTACAGGGATGAATAAAAATGAAGAATCACTTTTTCTTCAAACTTTCCCACCGACCTCTCCAACCTCCACCGAACACAGTCGCCTCTCCGAGAAAATAAGGACACGGATATGCGTATCCCACACTGTCTGATCAAGAGAAAATTTATCGAGAACGTTGAAGTGAGCCCGAGGAGGATGGAAGCAGGCTGTTGAACGGCGGACTCCGAATTCGAACATGTTTGAATAGAGGAAATTCAACCGTAGACTTCTCCTAGGAAATCGGACCAGACAGGTACCCATTGGAGCGGCTGGACCACGGAACGATCATAACAAGGAATTATCATCGTGACGTCGTCGGAATATCATGTTCGGTGTTCAACTTGAGCATCGACATGAAGAACCGAGATGGAGTGGGCGAGACGTTTATTTTCTGCGAAGGCGATGTTAGCACCAGGTCGGATCCTATTGAATTCCCATTGCTTCAATTGGTGATGGTGATAAACAGGGAAACTCACGATCTGGCTCTCATCTTTCTTCTCTTACGCTTGAGACGACGAACGCGCTTCTTTCTCCACTTGGCTCTCATCTTCGTAGATGGTTCGAGACTGAAGCTGGTCAGTCAATTGCCTGAAGATGAAAGTCTTAAAGGTGAGGGGGGTCAATACTCACACTGCTGCGAGGATGAGAAGATGGTTGCAAGAAGGATGGGGAGCTGCGGCGGAGCAGCTCTTTGTGTGCGCTGTAGCTGACTCAGCAGAGTATGCGACTAAGGGCTCGCTAGTGGCACGGCCCCTCTGATTGGTTCGTCAATGATGCACTGAGGTGGCTCTCTTTACCGAGCTCATATTACGTCAGCCGGAGCATGTTTACGACTTGGATGCAGGACCTCGTCAACATTTAGTCTGGGTAGTACTCGATCAGCTGTTAAGACATGTCTATTACTTTTGCTAGGTCTACCTCTGAATATATCTACACTAACTGGGACCATTGCTATTTGAAGACGATGTGTAGTGGCGAACTGCCACTGATCATAACGTATAGTTCACGTTCGTTCATGTCATGACGTAAATATTAGTCTATCCAACGAGATATTCAAAGCGGTCCGTGGCTCCAGGCAAGCGTTGATAGGAAGCCCTAACCCTATCTTCAAATGTCTTCAGAATATATCGAATATATCAATAAGTATAGCGGTAATTGGGCGCAAGATCGCCCAGCTGCTCCTGCTCCTCCTCTGTAAGCTCAATGGTAGCACCGTTGGCCATGGCGCGATCACGCTTCCGGTTGTCGTACCAGACCGCTGCAAGATAAGCGGTACAGCATGCTGCGGAGAAGCAGAGGAAGGAAAGACTGATGATATACCCATTTCGGTACAGGGGTGCGTCCTTCGCCAGGAAGGAATAGGTAGCAATGATACCGCCAACTGGTTATGCTTGTCAGCTATCACCCACTTACATGTCGAGGGTATTGCAGAGATTGCAACTTACTGTTACCGAATCCGATCTGCCACGCGGTTCCCACGCCCCGCCGACGGTGTCCGCTCAGGTTCATGGCGTACCAACATACGACAACGGCCATCGAGCTGTAGCAACCACCGGTCACCATGAAGAGCGCCCCATACTGGACATTCCGGTGAGCCACGCCGTGAACATTCAGCAAGATCCCAAAGCCACCCATGGCAATCAACATGGGAATCATAGCAAAAATGTAGCGGTGCCTGAACATATCAGAAAGGGTTGCAATCAACATGGAGAAGCCAAACGCGGCTGCCCATGGGGCCACTGAGTAGAGTTGGGTTTTGATCGCTGGTACAGAAGGTCAGCAGGGCCGATACTCGCGGAAGTACGAGACACATACAGGAGTAGCCATAAGTCTTGATGATGGTCGGGGCGAAATACGCATATCCTGCATGCTGTTAAGAACGGAACTCATCCAAGAGCCATATTGAGTCATGCTTACCGTATGCCGTGACAATCTGGCCAAAGTACATCAAGCCGCCAATAAAAATCTTATCTAAGAACATACTGAGCGCAATGCAAAACCAGAAGGCTGCTACACCACTCACAGTCCTTAAAGACCGCCAGCACATCACGGACCGTTAGCTTGACATCTCTGCCAGCGGCGCCGACGTCCTTTGCAAGCTTCGCACGAATGAACTCTCGCTCTTCGTCATTCAGCCACTTGACGTCTTCCGGGAAGTCCGGAAGCACGAAGAACCACACCAGCGAAACAACACAGGTGAGGACGCCTTCGATGATGAAGACCCATCGCCAGCCATTGTAGCCTCGAAGACCGGCCATTTCTCCAAGACCACTGGCGAGAAGGCCACCAAATGCGCCTGCTAGGGTGGTAGAGCTGAAGAAGAAGCTGAATCGTTTCTGAGCTTCGCTGCGCTTATACCACATTCCCAGGAGATAGAAGCCTGTCACATCGCGATTGGTTATTGACTAGGCCAATTGTTCTCTGAGGAAATAGACTTACACCCAGGGAACATTCCCGTCTCAAACATGCCTAGATCATGTACGTTAGGTCTCATTCAAGTGGCAAATATATATGTGATGGGGTAAATACCAAGAAACCAGCGGGTGGTCATCAAGCCACCCCAGCTCGAAACCAATCCTTGACAGATCGTCACAAAGCCGAATAAGAACATGCATAACGACACTGCGGCAATGTCAGCAGTCTGCTCCCTATCGCAGAAAGACGAAGTACATACACCATACATGGGGCTTCAGCTTCTTCAGCAATATGTTGGAAGGAATCTCGAACAGGACGTACGGTACGAAGAAGATGGTCAAAGCAGTGTTGTACTTGGTATTTTCGATATCTAGATCTTTCTGCAGCCCGAGAATTGCGGCATTGCTGATGTTGACTCTGTGACGGCGCATTACAGAGCTCAGTCCATGCACGGAGCTAGGGATTTGAGGATCGCATACCGGTCCAGAAAGGCGAGCAAGTACATGACGCAAAGGCACGGCACGATATGCCAGTCAATCTTGGCCATCAGCTTGCGCTCCGTGGTGGTGGTGAGCGGAGGGAGGTCCGCGGACTCGCTATAGATCTCGCCCTCGGCTTTGCCATTATCTGTTTCGGAGACGCCTATGTATGCGATGAGGGGTTAGCTGTCGATTTCTCTAGGGAGCGATGTCTCGTAAGCGAAGAGAACATTATCGAGGAGACACACTCTTTAAAGCCATAATTGCTGATTTCAGGACGCAATTATCCCTGTACCCCTTGGCAAAGGCTGATACCGAAAGCTGACACGACAGAGGGGGGAAAGAAGCAAGAAACAGACGCTGCGCAGAAGAGAATGCGTTCTTATTTCTCACTAAGCACGCATGGTGTGACCTTGGGCAGCCATGGCGAGTCAGGGACAATCAGCAGTGACTCAGGCCTTTCTATTTGTCAGATCATATCTACTAAGTTATTCTCCGATCCTAGTCTACAAACAAAGGGATCTTCGGCGACTGAACAACCTATGCGATACCTCTTTTGGGGATCGGACATGGCCGAGGTTACTGTACCCCAACGCCAAGGAGTCATAGCAAGCAGTCCAGGGGATGCGGTCGCCGATGCGGAGATAGCGCTTATTATTTGCGAAGGCCTCACGTAATAATTCAATTAATAGACGAACAGACCGACTACTACTAGTGCTACTTAGTACTAAATAGTAATATCACGAGCATGTCGGTCAATCGACGAATCTCCAGTCCTCAGCGCCGAGCGATTCCCCGCAGATTTCCCCGGCCAAGCTTTCTTTCTCTTTGGGCTTTGGATCATCTCCGCATTCCTATCCGCAGCAGAGGTTGGCTCTTGTAGAATGGTGAATTAGCCATGGTTCATTGATACACGTGGCCAAATTATATATATATATATATAATTTGGCTCTAGGAACATCTACTAGATGAAGCTGCATTGCACCCATCCTGACATTCTTGCTGGGACCGTTGACCAAACTGATCATTTAAATAGCATTCAATTCCGCATAGTATCGGGTGGGCGGATATTATTGGTATTGCGGTGATGGATAAACGACCCGCAAAAAGAGTCATTCTGTCAACTTGCAATGCTAGTGCCGTTGACAAGGGGAGAACTCAATGGTCGATGGCCAGTCTAGTGGACATGCACAATCTACGCAGGTATTAGAGAACGACAAGCAGCTGAACCTCCTCGCCAGGTATTCTGGACTGATATCAGTCTGTAATCATACAATCAGCACAGCTTTAAATCTCCAGGATTGATGCTATGCGAGATACATGAACTGAGAAAGAACCATCGAAGACTAAGTGAGGGATAAATGGGTAGCCGAGGAGCCAGGCCGTCCTCTAGAATGGAAGCAGCTCACTCGCTCGACCCCTCCTCCACTGCCTTGCCCCATGCCTTCTCGAAAGCCGAGTTGTCCTCAGCTACTGCGCTTGAACCAGCTTGGTTAAGATCTTGGGTATCAGCCTTATCCACCATCACCGGGGCCGTGGAAGACGTATCGGGGCGATCTCTCTCGGCAGTGACTTGTTCCGCTTTCTGCTCCGCGCCTGGCGGCTGGAGGTCAAAGTTCGAGCTGTAGATGACGGCTGCGAAGGCCTCCATATTCCGGACATTCTGATCCATGGCGGTAAGATAGATGTTGGGCGGATTTGTGCCGTTGCCGATAACATGCGCCTGCCGCGCCATCACAGCCAGTACATTCGCGAGCTTCGTCTTGAGATCCACTGTCTTCACCTGTGGGACAACTGTGGCAACCGAGGTGAATGATTGCGGTACGCTTTCAGACGCTTGTGGCGACGACTGGAATGCTTCCTTGATGCAATTTTGCATCAGTAAGTCAAAGCATTCGTCGTTGAGGCCTTGCAGGACGCGACCAAAGGTTGGCGATTCAATCAGGTCGGCCGTCTCATCGAGAAGGTGTCGCAGAGTCAAAGCTGACTGAGAGGTCGAGGGTTCAGTCACCCCCGCAACTCCCGACTCCTCCAACAGATGTTCCTCCTCTTCACGAGGAGGGAGCAGATAGGACAGCCATCTTCGGCTTCTATACCTATGAGTCAGCACAAGAACCTTTATCTTATGGCGAAACTGTGGCCGGCCATACCTTCTATCCTCCGGAGTGTTGCCTTCCACCTTCTTGCGGATGTCAAGAGTCAGTTCCGACAGCCTCCCCACGGAGATATCTTCCCGAGGGTTCAAAGAGCCAAACGCATCTGTGACCGCAGCCTGCACCTCGTTCATCAGGTCCTTCCAGCCACGATGGAGCAACCACCAGCTGAATGCAAGATATCGTCGGTTTGTCTCGAAATCATTTCCCAAGGTCTGAGTCAGGTCATCGTCATCATGATCCTCAAGTTTGATCGTGGAGGCATTTGCCGGAGGAGTAGCTAGTGAGATCACGCTGGATAGATAATTTCGGCGGCCAAGCAGGTTGAGTTGGATTCGGGTGAAAATGGTTAGTAGGGACAAGGTGTAGATGAGAGTAAACGATCTGGTGACAGCTGCAGTTGCGACGTTAGCTAGCCCGTCTTAGCCAGTCTTGTAGGACAAAAGACAACGTACAGGTGATCTTGACCTCGTTCCAGAGTTGAGTTTTGTTCCGCTTTACCCGTGCCTGCCCCTCGCCATCGACGGCTGGTTCTCCTAATTGACTTGTGCGGACAAACCCATCGCTCTGGAAGCTTGAGAGGCTCCTTCGATCGTCATCGGCCGCACTGGGTGACACCGAACTCAGGTCCGACACAGTCCCCTCCCCAGCCTGGAGCCGAGCCAATCTCTCCGCCCGCTTCTTCTGCAATTCTTTCGTCAATTCCTCCACAGGAAGGGCTTCGAGGATACCTTCCGCCGCGGTCGGCAAGAGGGCCAGAACCGTATAGGTACAGTCCGTCTGATTCTGTTCAAAACGTCGCCGTAAACTAGACAGATCAGTCAGTCAGTCACCATCACGTCAGTCACCAAGGCCGAGCACGCGAGCGGATGAACTTTTTGTCCATCCGATTTTCGCCAAAAGACCAAGGTGAATCTAAAAGTAACATACTTTTCTCGGGCGATTCGATCGCTGCTCATACGCTCTCGGGCTTCTGTGATTTTAGACAACACATACTGTCCCGCAAGATAGCCAGCTCCAATAATGCCAGCCCCGATCGCGAGACCTTTGCGATTGCGTCGGAACCAACGCCTGGTAGCTCCAATCATGATAGAGCTAGAGATGGAAGAGCAATGAAAGTCAAATCATTCAAAAGAGTTCATTACTTATCATGAGATTGCAAGGAAGCAGGAAAATTCATCAAAACGATGTCTTAATAGTTGTAGGTTGGAGCAACCGAGCCACAGGAGCTGTTGGTTGGGGAATTCAAGAGAAGAGCAGGCCTCGGCTAGAGTGAGCGATAACAGCAACGGCCGACACCGTGAACAACGCCAGACCAGGTCAAGAGTGGATGAGTCGCCGACGATCCTCATCTGGTCATAATTGCATTAGGATGCATATACCTTGCTATATTACTCCATCAGTTTCTCAGATAATTTCTACGACTACGGCTATCCATAGACAATTATAGTACCTGATTTTTCAGAAATCCGTTGCCCGCATTGTATCGGCGGGGATCGCTCTCTACTGCTCCGTAGATAGCCTTCGATGTCTGTACGGGACTGGGTTGTACCTTGGGTATAGATGTCCCTCTGCCTCTTTGATCCTTCTCCATCCCTTCTTAGTCGTCTGCAGTAACTCTGCTCTCATGGACCACATCATGCGTATTTTCCTCTCAAAGTCATTCGACCTGAGCTTATCGTGTTCCTGAAAGTCTCGACTGCAAATAACTACCTATCACCTACCTTAATCTTACCCCCTCTCATACCGCCATCCACCTGCCCTTCTTTCCCCCACGTCCAAGTCATTGAATCGGGACTGGTCTCCGTGGTACAGGCTTAACAGCTTGCCGTCATACCTGGGTCATTCATTCATATATTTATGCTTATTGCTTGCTCCCTTTTCGCAGCATAGAAGCAAGGCAGTGTCGGTGGTGCTAAGACATCTCTCTCCTTGATACCGTACGACCCCTGCGAGGATGGAGCCCCGCAGGACCCCTCCAGAGTACTTCCTGGAGATCTTCGCAGACACAACCACCGTGAGGGATGTATTAAAAGGTTTGTGAATCATTGATATCGGCTTGCCATATGACATATATTTTCGCTATCCCCTATTGACAGCAGTCGTGTTGTCGCGAATTGCCCTGACGACACTCCTGCGAAGCGCTCAGCTGACATCACTCCGTCCAAACCAGGCATCCTCAACCTCATCTTCTTCCACCGTTACTTCCCATCAATTCGACCAACAACCTTCGACGTCCTTGACTTCACCCTCCCCGCCATTGACGATGTCGAGCTCGAAACCCTGATCGAATCCCGCATCAGCGCCCTGGTCCGCCAACATACCTCCGCTACCAGTACCCATGAAGGCGGCGGCGGCGTACGCGGTCGCATCGCGGTCGAGTTCTACGAGAAGAAGCGCAAACGCTCCGGGGCGTGGTTCAGCGGGCTAGCGGGCAAGGGAGAAGAAGAAGTATGCTGGGAGGTGTGGAATCTAGACGTGACGATCGCCACGCCGCGGACGGAATCAGGTATTAACTTAGAAACCCAATGCCGCTCCTACAGGAAGAAAGAGTATAGGCTGATTATCCCCGTCCAGAACGCGCCAAAGTCCGCAAGGCGATGGAGAACATGCTCCAAAAGGCGGCGCTGAAGATCCTCGCTGTCGTCAACCGGGATAAAGATCACATTCCGCCGATCACCACCAGCGACTCTAATCCCTTCCCCTATCGAATCGTTCTGAATCCCCGTTCGGACGGCTGGCAGAACCGGTTCGGCTTGTACTAAGACACTGCATCGACTTGGCTTCCTTATCGCCAGATCTCCATGCAGGTATCCGCTGGTCTACGGCACCTGCGTGGTTCAAGATCGACTCTCCTAATAGATCGTCGCGCCGCGCCTGGAGTTGCGGAGTCGGTTGGGTGATATTTTTCTTTTGCGGCTGGTCGTTCGGACTAATAAATGTACATCACCTACGTCATCGCGACATTAAGGTCATTTTTGCGAAAACCATCATGAAGGCATCATTGGACCTTACGGATGAAAGCAAAGGACCGGTATGAGGAATGACTAAAGATACTGCTCAATTACCCAAAGAGGCATGATCGCGTTAGATATAATTTCATCCAAGGATAAGTATAGCCATGTCATGTCCTTTTTCAACAAAACCAACCTCCACCATTGTACTCCTCCAATCATGACAAGTGAAAGAAAGAAGTACAATGTCACGGCTCCGCTCTCCTAACTCGACCCCGACACCTTAACCCACCACTATCTCCACTCACTCCGACAATTCGACTTTCGGATTGCGCCGCATAGGCGATAGGCCTGACAAGCCAAGAATCGACGTTTTCTTTCGCGGCTTGTCCTTCGCAAGCCGCGAAAGACTCTATATGCTAATACCGACTCTTAGCAATGCATTTACTGCGACTTGGAGGCGGCATCGGCCTGAGCACGGAGGTTGGCAGAGGTAGATCCGCTAGCGAAGAAGCGGCCCAGCACCGGCTGGAGGAAAGAGTGGAAGACAACTTGAGCGCCGCTGTAGATAACGAGTTAGCATGTTTTCCATAGTCATCGCGTCTACCGAGGCAAGCATACTTGGTCTGGGGGAGAGACATCCACAGAATGAGGACGAACTTGAAGATGTAGTAAAAGGCTGTTTGCAGCGATTAGCAAAAGATCCAAGATTGGAAGAAATATATTGCATAAACTTACGGAACCAATAGGCGGCGTTGATGGCACTCTCAATAACAGTCAGGAAGGCGTAAACAACCCAGTACTATAATTGACACGGTCAAGTCAGTCTCCAATTGCTGATGATGGTGCATCACGTGCTATGAAACAGCCTAGGCTGTTCCTTAGCAGGAGGCGGGAAGATCGTCTCCGCCTCCAAGGTGCGAATGGGGTTCACGATCACAAGCACATACCGTCAACCACTGCGGTGATCAGAAGACAGTCAGCCACAATCGTTCAGTTTATCAGTTACAGGGGCTAGACAGCGGAAAAACTCACCTGAGTATCATCTGCCTTGCCAGAGGTGAACAGGGCATTGAGAGAGTAGTAGCCAGGAATCAGGAAACCGGCAAAGTTGACGAGGAACTCGCCAGCGATGTTGAAGAAGACAAGGAAGGTGTAGATTCCGACCAGGCCGAGGATGACATAGACCTTAGGAACGGAGGTCTGGCGCTCCAGGTTGTTGAGGACAGGGTACTTGGAGAGCTTTAATAGCACCGCACAAACAATCAAGGGTTAGTGGCTTTTCCTTATTTCGTTGCATTGTTGACTCTCTAAACAGAGAGATTCCTGAAGAAAAGAAAAGACAAGGACTGGATGAAGGATGAGGAAGTAAAAGTAGTCGAAAGGCGTGCAAGATCTATCATCGCCAAACACACTAACAAAGCTGACGCACAATAACTATTTACTTACCTCCTTGTCAAGCTGGGCTATGGTGTGCTGAGCACGATCCTGGAAAGTAGCCATTTCTGCTGGATTTCAGGGTTTAATGCTAAGTACAAGGTAGTAAAGGTGATAGTAAGCTGGACTGAGTATAAAGATGAAGAAGTAAAGAGAAGACAGCAAGTTGAGATTGTTATCAGAGCTCAAGAGATTCGAAAGGGTCGAGCTGGCGGTTAAGAGAAGGGCGCAGAATGGTGCATGACGGTGCGGTGTATCACGTGACTATGTGACGTCGAGTCCAAGCAAGTCGCATATGACGTGCGAGGCATCATGGTAGAATAGCTTGTTTACTCTACACAAGGCACAAGGCACCTCGCAGCACCTTGTAGCATGTCAGCAAGCCCTTGCAGACCAGATCAGTAATGACCCAAGCCATTCATAAATTGCGGGGGCTTCATATGTCCCTGCGATCTCAAGGGAAAAGACCCACCTGTACAGTGCCAGCGACGTGTGAATTTCGAGTGCACACGACAATATGCGCAAAAGCTGAGTACAATACCACTGTTGACCGGGGTAGTTACTAGGCGAGGATCCTCATAATAACAGGGGATCTTCATGTGACCAGCTCCAACAGTGAATACCTACTGCTTGGTTTATGCTTTGAATAGGCAGTGACAAGTCAGGCGACCAGAAGCCCGAGAGGCAACTGATCGGAAGAATTACCTACGACAAATGATAGTAGAAGTAGTAGAAGCGTCAAACATCGGGAAGATTCATTTATTACCATCCCTCATTGATCGTCGAGTACAGCAGAAATGCCTCGAGTTGTTCCAAGACAAGTCCCTTGTTCTTTGGCAGAGAGCAGAAGTAGTCAACAAACTAAACTGAGAAACACTGAAGCAGGACAATTTCCGCCCTCGAGACGTTTCAATATGGCATAACACAAGGGGTAGAATAAGAAAAGGAGATAATAAACAAAACTAAGTCTCTCGTCTTGATTAAAAATGCATTGCGCCATCAACCAACGTCCATCACGAGCCACCAAATCACAAAACGCCTCCCAGAAGCGGGATATGAAGATGAAAGAACTCGAAGCTAGAGGAATACATGTCAAGGTGGTGGGGGGGTAAATCGAAGGCAGCATCAGACGGAAAAATATGGAAATCATATCTCCGCTTGCGACTTCAGCGGACGTGAAAAGCAGACAATAATGCCCTGTCATAAACCTAACTGAACCTCATTGGATGGCATCACGCGTCTTCCGAGTCAAAGCCGCCATTTGAGATTCCTGCACTATCCCGGTTGCTATTATTGAACGTGAGTTTCAACTTTGGTTGCGTCGGAGTGGCCGCGGCAGGCGTCCCTGTAGACAGTGCGGGAGCAACAGAGGCATCATTGCCTGCCGATGACAGAGAATCGTCGAAATCGGCAAATTGTGGGTAGTCCTCGGTTTCTTTCCTCAACACCTCGACACATTTCGCCTGTCTCACAGTCAGCAACCTATGAAGGCAAAAACAAGTAAAATGACAGAGATAAAACTTACTTCAATATCGTTGGCATCCTGGAACAGGATGCTTCCATCTTCATTGTAGGTCCTGGCATTCTGACACAGGAGGTGGATGTCATTCCGGAAGTCCCTAAGATTCTGATATTCCTCGCGGTTTATCTTCTTCCTGATCATCTCCATGGCGATCGGGTTCTGAATGATCAGGTAATAGTCGGGATATTGTGATTTAGGAGGTGGCTTCATGAATGGCTCGATGATCGAGCGGGTAACCGGCCCGTCCTCGCTGTCGGATGAATCCGCTGGCAGCTCTTGTTCCATATCCAACAGCGCCTGGTATGCGGTGTTTAGGATCCGCTGGAGCGTGGCGCGGTCCTCGCTACTCAAGGTTTCCACAGGTTTCGGTTGTCTGCCTCTCTTGCGCTTCGGTTGCGGGGTTTCTTCAACGGGCTCCTCCGCCTTGCGTTTAGGCGCAGGACCCCTACGACCACGCTTCTTGGGTTGCGGGGTCTCGGAACTCTCACGCGATGGCTCTGGCGAGGACTCGACGCCCATGGCTCTCTTCTGACGCTTCTCCTTATTCATGCGGCGACGCTCGACTCTCGCTTCCTTTCGGGCGATAGCATTCTCGATCGTGTCGTCCTCGGCATCCACGGCCATGAGCCACTGTTCTTCGGTAAGTCCATCGTCGTAGCGGGTAATTTTGCGTTCACGAGCCCCACGACCGGTAACCTCAATGTCGACTTCTTCTTGGACGGGGTTTTCGTCGGCAAGGTAAATATCCGGGAGCTCGTCTTCTCCCATGAGACGGGGATACCTATGGCCAGGACCATATTGATCGGTCTTCTGGCGTTCCTTGTCAATGCGCTGGAAAGTAATCAGCTCCTCGTCAGAGCGAGCCATGATGTCGTTCAGGTCGTCGTCGTCCATTTCGTCTTGCTGCTCACCAAGCTGGTCAGCAGCCTCCGCAGTTTCGAGTAGCGTTCGAAGGAGAGCATCTCGCTCTTCGTTTGTGGACTTGTTATCGAACTTTCCAGCCTGAATGACCTTGCCATCCATGTCGAGCTTGAACTGTGCACGTTCAAGAATCTTTTCTTCAACTGAGTTTGAGCTGATCAGACGCAAAATGCGAACCTCGTTCTTCTGACCGATACGGTGAGCACGATCCTGAGCTTGCAAATCTTGGTGAGGATTCCAGTCTGAATCGAAGATGATGACAGTGTCTGCAGTCTGCAGGTTGAGACCAAGACCACCAGCACGCGTCGAGAGCAAGAAACAGAAATACTCCGAGCCCGGCGCATTGAACAGCTTCAGCAGGTCCGAACGATCATCGGACTTGGTTGAACCATCAAGACGAAGATATTTCATGCCCCGAAGGCGAAGGAAATCCTCCATGATGTTCATGATCTGAGTCATCTGAAAGAACATCAACACGCGGTGACCCGTGGCCCTGAACTTCGGAAGAATCCTATCCAAAAGTTCAAATTTGCCTGCGGTTCGCCAAATGAGATCGTTGGTCCCACGCCCAGGATTCATTTGATCCTCAACGGGCTCGAAGACGAATGGATGATTGCACAATTTTCTCAACTGCATCAGCATGTTGCTCAGACCACGCATGCCAGTCTTGCCTCCTTTGCCGTCACTGACAACCATCTTATTGTGCGTGACAAGCTGTTTGTACAGCCTCGCTTGCAGAGCAGAAAAGCGGCATTTGATGACACGTTCTTGCTTATCAGGCAGATCCTTCTCGACATCTTTCTTCAGACGTCTAAGCAGGAAGGGCCGAAGAACCTTGTGCAAACGACGAATGACCAGCAGCTGTTCTTCTTCAGAGAGTTCCATGCGGTCCTGACCTCCAGTATTTGCAAACGGCGTGTTGAACCACTCATCGAACGATTTGACCGATTTGAAGATGTTTGGCAAGACGAAGTTAAGCAGCGCCCACAACTCGGGAAGATTATTTTGCAAGGGGGTACCAGTCAAAATCAGACGATAACGGCTGGTGTAGTACTGAGATAAAGTGCTACTCAACTTAGACTGTGTGTTCTTCATACGATGACCTTCGTCAACAATCATGTGCGTCCACTTGATCTTGCTCAAGATTGGGCGGTCCTTGATGATGTATTCGTAAGTGGTCAACAGGACTTGGAAGTTACCCCAGCGGATTTGCTGCTGCTGCTGTTTGCGCGCATTGGGGGGTCCCTTGTAGACAACCCTGGAGACACTTGGCGCCCACTTTTCGAACTCCAGATTCCAGTTTGTCAGAGTACTGAGAGGCACGATAACCAAGAAGGGGCCGTTGTTCTTCTTCTTCTCAATAATGTATGTGATCAAACTGATAGTTTGAATAGTCTTTCCAAGACCCATCTCGTCTGCCAAAATGCCATTCAGGTTGTTGTTGTAGAGCGAAATCATCCACTGCAGACCCTTCATCTGGTACTCCTTGAGGGTACCGCCAACAAGAATCTTAGGCTGCTCGGTGACCTCTTCCTTGATCCGGTGAGCGACAGCATAGTAATCAATCTTCCGTCGGCCGCCCTCTTCGTCGTCATCAGATCCAATATCCTCTTCATCCTCCTCTTCGAAGAGCTGCTCATCCTCCCCATACCGTTCAGCTAGGCTGCGTTGCTGCTCCCTGACCGAGGCAGCAAGTTGTTTGAGGAAGCCATCGGTCTGTTTGAGGAGGTGAGAGATACGCGAATCTTTGGCCTGACCCAGAAGCTTCATGTAAGTCTCTTCATCGTTGGCCTTTAGAGCCTGAAGACGTTGTTTGGCAGTACGTTCGACACGTTTCTGCTCCTCACGCTCCATATGCTGGTGGTGCTGAAGCATCATGCGACCAAGCTTCTGCATACGCGTGCGCTGCTGGTTAGCAGCGTTCTGCAACTCGGCACCATGGTTCAAAATAGCTTGTAGTTGATCGTATTGCTTCTTCTTCTCCCGAGTTTCGCGGGCATCGCGTTGCTGCTTCTCCAACTTCTCAGTGATTCGGGCTTCACGAAGGGACTGCTTCTTCATGCGACGGTGGCTAGATCGATTGGCAGTCATGCCGAGATTATCAAAGTGGAACATTTCATTCTGAATCTGTTTGCGGAAAAGCCTCTGCTTGGGCAGAAGATGAAGCATCTTGTATTCGATGAGTGCCTTAAGCTTCAGCGAGTCATCGCCGCTGGGTGTATCACTCTTGCTCGTGTCCCACACACCAAGATTTGCAGGAAGCTCAGCGAGCTCAGCCTTTCGCGCATTGATTTTGTTGTAAACGATCATCTCGCGGTCCTCACGCAATTGCTCCAGGTCAATGCCGGGTGGCATCAGAGCAGGAATGCGCAGGCGGTTGGCGCGAGAAGCATGATCAGTGAAGCTGACACTCTTAGGGAAGAGCTCATAGGGCGACTGAAAGGTCTCATAGAAATCCTTGGACTGTGGTGCTACATCTGGGGTGGGCTGCTCCGACTTGGCCTGAGTCACGCTTTCTAAGACGCTCTCTGCGCTTGCGATACCATCTGAGGGAGTAGGAGTCTGAGACTTTTTGGACGCAAAAAGCTGCTGTTGGACGCGGGGGGGTATCGTGAGATTCTTG